TCCTCCTCCTCGCCCGCCTCCTCCTCCTCTTCGCGCCAGACCATCGGACGTGCGGAGCGGTGGTCGATACGACAGGCTCTGCACTTTGCGCCCGAGGTGGAAAAAATTGTGTCCGACCTGCAGGCCAGCGTTCGCGAAGGCAACGCGTGGGACCCAGAGCAGGCTGCTGGTCTAGCCAAACATGCGTCGATTTGGGCGGACATTTTCAGGAACCAGCAGCACGATCCCCCCCAATTTGTTTGGTGCCCCGCCCACCTTTCGCTCGATGAGGCTGTAGAAAAAGGCGTCTCTCTTGAGCACTGGGCGGGAAACCTATGGGCTGATTTTTTCGCGAAGCTCGGCTCGGCGTCCCACAGTTACGCGGATGGATTCTGTAAGGCCTTGGCGGGGGAATATAGATATCATAAGTCCACTCTTAGGTTCTTGGCATGGGCTGCTCAAAGGCTGTTGCAGTCTCAAGCGTGGTCTGGTGATCCTGATGAGCCTCTGGTTTCCTCGAGCCTCCCTCTTCCCCCTAAGTTGTCGATCACCAGTCACGAGATCTGGCACAGCCAGAAGGTCGCCATTTGGAGGTGCCGTGTATGTGGCAGATTTGCTCGCAGCCAGACTTCTCTCAATGCCATGCTCACACAGAGGGCCACTCGTGATTGCATAGCCAGCCCCGTGCAGCTCCTGGCTGCGTCTGAATGGTGGAAGGCTCATGCGACCGACCAGGGGTTTGCCCTGATGCGTTCCGAGGCCGTGCAGCTGGCAATGGAAGCCTCCCAGAGAGGGGCTGAGCTGCGCAGCCAGACCGAGGGGCCCGACGACATGGGGGTGAAGGGCCCGCTGACTCCTGTGCTCCCCTCGGGGCCCAGTGGGCCCGACAGGTACCCTCAATTTTCGGCCCTCGGTCACGACGTGTTTAAAAATGGTGATTATTTCTGCTGCCGCAAATGCGGTGGAAACGGCACTCTTGGCAATTTTGTGAAGTTAGCCGCTAGTTGTGTTGGTTTCTCTGCCGTGGCCTCCACGAAGGCGAACCAGCGAATGGCCATTCGGAGGATCGAGGCAGGCCTGCATCCGAAGACTGGCGCGAAGCTCTCCGCCCCCTCGGCTAGTCGGCCGTGCAGGCGTGGAGATAGCCACGCTGGCCCCACGGATGCGGGCAGGCCCGCCTCTTGTGTGCAGGAAGGACGCGACGATAATCGTGCTCCCTCTCCTGCCGCCTCCTGCCCCGTCGAGGGCCCTTCCTCCTCTCGCTTGTCATTGGGTCCTGGGGCCGAGGGTGCGAGGGGCGAAGGTACTCGTGTTGTGACCCTGGACGAGGTCCAGAGGCTGTCCCATGTTCGGACCGCCCATCGGCCACTCGATGTGGCCCGTGACCCTAGGCCCGAGACTGGAGATGGATCCAGCTCGGGCTCTGACTAATCTCGTTTAGTTTTTTGGGCCCTCCCCCCCCCGCCGCCGCCGCCGCCGCCATCGCTGCACATCGTCTCCTTTTTCAACACGACTGTGCTCTGCGAGGCGGGCGCGCGTGCCGCCGCGAGGGTAGGGAGGGGCCTCCCTTTGCTTCGCTCGAGCCGCGCTTCGCGCGGACGGTCGAGCTCCTTGGACATCGGACCCCCTGCTCGGCACTCGTGCCTTGCAGGGGGCACAGCGGTCTGCGCCTCCTCCTCCTCTTCGTCCGCCTCCTCCTCCTCCTCCTCCTCCTCTTCCTCCTCCTCCGCCTCCTCCTCCTCCTCCTCCTTCCTCCTCCTCTCCTCCGCATCAATCATCCTCATCCTCTTCCTCTTCCCTCTTCCTCTTCCTCCTCATCATCCCCTCTCTCCTCCTCCTCCTCCTCCTCAATCACCCCTCCAACAATCCTCCTCCTCCTCCTCCTCCTCCCCCCACCCCCCACCGCCTCCACTCCCCGTCCCAACCCTCCACCCCCTCCTCATCACATCCTCCTCCTCCTCCTCCCCCATCCTCCGCCATCCGCCTCCTCCCCTCCTCCTCTCCGGTTCCCCTCCTCCTCACTCATCCTCCTCCTCCTCCTTATACTCCACCTCCTCATCCCTCCTCCTCCTCTTCTCCTCATCTTCCTCCGCTATCCTGGAGGCCCTACCTCATCCTCCTCCTCTTCCTCTCCGCCTCATCTCCCTCCCGCAATCCTCCGCCTCTCCTCCTCATCCTCCTCCTCCTCATCTCTCTCCTCTCCTCCTCTCCTCCTCCTCCTCCCCCTCCTCATCCTCCTCCTCCTCCTCTCCTCTCCTCCCGCCGCCATCTCCCCTCCTCCGCCTCTTCCCCGTTCTTCTACCCCTCTCATCCTCCTCCTCCTCCTCCTCCTCCTCCTCTCATCTTCATCCACATTCCTCCGCCTCCTCCTCCTCCTCCTCCGCATGTTCCTCCTCCTCCGCCTCCGTATCCCTCATACCTCCCCCTCCCCTCCCCCCGTCTTCCTCCTCCTCCTCATCCTCATCCTCCCCACCTCCTCCTCCTCTCTCCTCCTCCCTCCTCCTCATCCTCCTCCTCCTCCTCCTCCTCCTCCTCCTCCTCCTCCTCCTCCTCCATCCTCCTTCTCTTCCCTCTCCTCCTCCTCCTCCTCCTCCTCCTCCTCCTCCCCCATTGGCCATTGACCTGCATTAGAAGGTGGGTCCCTGCACGCCAGGGCCCTTTGGAAAGCCTCACGAGACGTTCATCTCGCGTGGGAGCCGCAGCGGGTGGCAACCTGCGTTCTTAGAAGGGCAGGTTGCCCCGTCGGTCATTCGGCAACCCCTTTGGGGTTCAGTCCCTGCGACAACCTACGAGACGCGTTGATCCCCGTTCTCGTCGGCTTCTCGCAAGGACTGGCAGGTTTCGAAACCGCTGAGGCGGCCCACCCTCCGACCTTGGCACAAACACCGCCCTTGGACCTGGTCAAACTGGGGTGGTGGGAGGGGTGGGCATCAAAAATAGAATTCCTGAGCAGGCAAACTTGTGAAACCCACCCTGGTGGTGGCCTGGCAGAGAAAACAGCGCAGCAGGTGCGTCTGACAGACTCGCCTACTAGTTCTCCCGCGATGGGATGTGGGTTCATTCCATAGTATCGGAGACGACGTGTTTGGGCACGTTCGGATATGTTCTGTTGCTTCGGGTTCGGGTCATGCTCCAGGTTAGGATGTTGGACGCATATGCGACGGGATCTGGTCAACTGCATCTCCTCATCCCTGGCCTCGTCCTCCCTGACCTCCTCATCAGTAAAATCACAGGACACTGCCGCCATGCGCTCAACGGCGTCGGTGGCGGCATTGGCGGTGTAGAAGTCTACCTTGACGGTCGCGTCGGTGGATTCCGACGGCGTGGCACGGGCCTGGATCTTCTTAAAGACGGTGTGGTTGGTCATTTGTAGATGGACTTGCCACAAGAGGGACCACAAATGCGTGTTGGCTCGATGTTTCCAGTCCTCACCCCATCGGACCCTTTTCACGATGTGGTCGTTATCAGTGACGACGATGGTGGGCCCGTCGAGGGCCAACGCGTAGATAACCGCAGTGGGCTCCACTCGATTGACAGCCTGGGTTCCTGGGGTGGCCCCAAATAGATTCCCTTGAGCCCATGGGTCCCTGTCCATCAGAACTGGCATCCATCCTACTCTTCGAAGGCGGGGATTGGGGAGATGTCGTCCTCCCGACCCGTTCGTGTCGACAGGCCCCGCCTCGGTGTAAGTGTAACACCCCATGTAGAGACATCCCGAGCCGTATACCTGATAAGTGCATTGCTTGGCGACAGAAAACGCGGCAGCGACTAAATGTTGTGATTTCTTCGTCCGTCCTCTCACTTGGTGTCGAAATTGATAGTGAACTCATCCTTCTCCCCCTCCTCCACAGTAGAGGTCGGCGGCCTGTCCCCTGTACCCGTGGGTGACGCAGGCAGAGAAGGCGGCGATCCTTGAGGACTGGTCATCCTCAACTTCTAACTTGACGAAATACTGCTGCCCCCACTGACTGATCCACCTCCATGGATGTGTGGAGCTCCAGCGGGAGTCGAAAAGGTATGCGAGGACAGACGGCATGATGCTGCACCCCTTGTTCCGTCTACCTGGTCTTTGTAGTTGGGCGATGGTCTTGGGCCATGTGTTCCCCTTCCTGGTGTGGAGGTACTTCCCGTGGTTCAATATGGAAAACCAAGCCTCCAGGCATCCCAAGTGAGAGAAATAACCTGGATCAATATTGATACACCTGAGCCCCGTGCCGATAGCCAATCGCCCCCTGAGGAGCTTGAAGGTAGTGGAGCCTATACCGTGCCCGTGGTGGCCCCAGACCAATCGAGGTTGTTCTCCAGTATTATGAAGACTTCTGGCCCCTTTGATCTTCTCCAAGAGCTTCCGAATTTTGTTTGGCTGGGAACACCCATGAGTTTGTCTGGCCTTACGGGCTCCTAGTCTACGGTGTCGTCGTAATATAACGTCAACCCCAAGATCCCCCCCTTGTCGTTGCCCAGTGGTGGGCATTCCTTAGGCCTCCAGCGCCTCAGCGATACATGCCGCCGAGGATGAACTGGCCGTCATCAAGCAACTCTTGGAAGACAAGTTCCTTTCTTGCCGCGCGAGGTCCCCACCCAAGGAGGCTGTGGCTGCAGAGAAGAGGCGTAATATAGTCTCAGATGATGCCCCGATGCGTACTCGAAGGTCTTCAACCCTCATGCGAGAATTGAGTGGCATGAACTCTCTGGGGAACTTGTCCCAGACTCGCGCCAGCAAGCTGCACACTTGGCGGTCCTCGTCCTGCAACAGGAAGAACTCTCGGACTGACCATCCGTCGCTTCCTGACACGGCCGAGGGCGTGTACAGTGCGATAGCGTTAAAGATGTCGCTCCTCCTCCTCCTCCTCCTCCTCCTCCTCCTCCTCCTCCTCCTCCTCCTCCTCCTCCTCCCTCCTCCTCCTCCTCCTCCTCCTCCTCCTCCTCCTCCTCCTCCTCCTCCTCCTCCTCCTCCTCCTCCTCCTCCTGGCGAGACCTCCGCCTGCCGACCGCTCCCCCCCCCCCCCTGGGGAGCCGAGGACGAGCCCGAGCTCCTCGCCTGCGCCGCGAGCGTCGCTGCCTCGGGCGCCCTGACATTGCGGGAGGCCTGGGGGCGGCGGGCCGAGGTTGCAGCATCCCGTTGCTCGCGACTCGAGTATGGGGGATGGGGAGGATGGGGAGGAGGAGGAGGAGGAGGAGGAGGAGGAGGAGGAGGAGGAGGAGGAGGAGGAGGAGGAGGAGGAGGAGGAGGAGAGGGGGCAAGGGGGAGGAGAGGGGAGATGCCATGGCTTTTCTGATCCCGCTGCTCATGACTCGAGCACACGGGTTTCCTGCAGAATTGATGCATTCACCTCGGGAAGCCTTTTGTTTTGATCCCCCCTTCCTCGGCGGTGACTAGGACTGGTCCTAGAACCTCCTCCTATCCTTATTCCTTATTAGAATATACTCCTACTCCCCCCTCAGGCCGGCAGATAGCGGGCGCATCCGGGTGGTCCCATCCTAACCTGTAAAAAACAATACAAAATCAACATTTTTCTTATTTTTTCCTCTCGACATGGACGTCCTGTCGTCCACGGCGATAATCCATTGCAAAAAATACCACAAAGAGCACACGCGCGCGTTCATGTCAGAATCCTACCGAACACCGTGTGTTTGCAAGCATTTCAACATAAAAACATCAAAAACCCAATGTTTTTTCACAAAAATTGTACAAATTTCCCGCCCGGGCTCTCTTGCTGAAATCATAGGAAAACCATAGGAATCTTAAGAATTCTGTCAAATCCAGCGATTTCACGTCATCGCGCGGTGCACTCGCGATGCTCTGTCATGCACCCAGGCCGCGAATCCTGTGCAAAAAATACCACAAAGAGCACACTCGCGCGTTCATGTCAGAATCCTACCGAACACCGTGTGTTTGCAAGCATTTCAACATAAAAACATCAAAAACCCAATGCTTTTTCACAAAAATGCTTTGGGGTGTCCTGTCAGACCGTCGGGCTTCCTCCGGCCACCTCTGGCTTCCTGCGGTGTACCGGGCCATTCTCGACTCGTCTGGCAATGCGTGCGCGGCATTCAACACGCGCTCGCCAGTTCCCGTCGGCAACCGCCATCGCGGCCGCATCAGCTGTACCAAACCGGCTGGCCGGTGTGACTTCGGCCCCCAGTTGTGCCAGCTTTGCTTCTTATGTTGTGGGAGGGCGGGTGGGACTGGGCATGCCATGCTTGACTCGCTCGAGCTGGCTAGCTTGACTCCTACTCCTACTCCTACTCCTCCTTCTCCTCATCATCATCTTCCTCCTCCCCCTCCCCCGCTTCTGGCGGCGGCCCTAAATTGGTCGATGCTGGAGGGTCAGACGTTGCGGAAACGGCCGATTGTTCAAGGTTGAACGAGCCCCGCGGTGTCAGGAACCAGCGCCCGGATCGACACGACACGAGGCTGCCGTATGGAGGTCGATTGCAGAGCTGATGTATCAGATCCAATGACAGAGAAAAGTCTTTGGGAGGCTTGTTCACGGGGGGGTGTCCAGGGGGCGGTCCGAACCCCCGCTGGATTGTCCAAGGGATTGTCCAAGGTAGGCCGTCTTGCCGTCATGAATCAGCACGGGGTGTCCTTGTTGTTAGGGGGCTATCCAGGGATATTTGTTGATTTGGTTGTGTTCCCGGTGAACATGGCATCTCAGAGTTGATTTGTTCGGCGAATATGCAAACTAGATTTTCGAGCAGTCTATTTAGACTGTTTGTAGATCCGACGAACAGTTCAATGCTGGGGTAAACAAATTCAATATTCGATCCACTGTTCGAACGACGAGGACGCGTTCGAAGAGGTGTGTGGGGGGGGCGAGAAGGAGGAGTCCCTGTCTGTCGAGTTTCTCCTGTCGAGGAAAAATCTGTGTTTGGGTTCATGAACGTTTCCCTGGCCCCGTCCGGGTCCCTCCTAGAACGACGGGCCATCCGCAAACCCCTTCCCCTCCCTAGACGTGCTCGCGTCGTTGAAATATATGACTATATATATATATGTTTATATATATATGTATAACACAAACAACAACAACAACAACAACAACAACAACAACAACAACAACAACAACAACAACAACAACGACAACGACAACGACAACGACAACGACAACGACAACAACAACAACAACAACAACAACAACAACAACACCAACAGCAGCAGCAGCAGCAGCAACAGCAACAGCAACAGCAACAGCAGCAGCAGCAACAGCAGCAACAGCAGCAACAGCAACAGCAACAGCAACAACAACATCAACAACAACAAAGAGCTGTTGCCGATGTCGGCCTCTGGGGGCCCTCGCCGGGCCCCAGGACCGTAAAACAACGCAGCGGGATGAAAGGCTGGCCCCGGGGAAAGGGTCAGGACTTCCAGGGGCCCCGTAGAGAAAAAAATAGGCATCGCATGTCTGGGTCGTGCTGCCCCTCCCTCCCTCCTCCTCCCCCCCCCCACATCCCATGAATTTCACGGCCACCCTGCGTCAGCCACGCTCCGAGGGGGGTAGGGGGAGGGGGGAAGGCTTCCTAGAAGCGGGCCCCCCCTCCCCCTACCCTCTCTGCGCCGCCAACCGTGCCCCGGGGATCCCTAAGGCGATTCCCTCCCAGGTCCTCTGAGCAAGTACGCACATTGCCCTACTAATATCATGCGCACGTCGTGACGAGGGAGCACGAGCCAGCGCCATGAGCCTGCATCCGACCGACCAACTCCCAGGACATCCGAAGGATTGGCTCTCTCAGTTACGGGCTGTTCTTTCGCTTCGGCCCCTAGGGCATCCCCGCTTTCCCCGCCCTGGGGCCATCAAGATCGGTCCCTGGATGAAGCAGCGCGCCCGGGCTAGTTCGACTACACGTAAGAGTGACCTTTCGCCAGGGTGACCTTTGGTGCGGGCCCAATGGGGTCCCCCGATCGCCGAACGCGATGCGGTAGTGGCGTCTTGCGCGCTTGTGTTTGGCACCCCCGCGGCCCCCAAAAAGCCGCGCACCAAAGGTCACTCTTACCCAGGGTCACTCTTGAGTGCAGCCGAGTAGTGATCGAGACGTCTTGGAGAGCGGATTGGACAGTCACGTCGTCGGCTTCCACGCTCTCGCCCGGTGAGCGGCCGATGAGCCCGCCTGCCGGTCCACTTCGCACCTTCTTTGCTGAGGCCACGGCCTCGACGCCGTGCCCTGGTGGGCACGCGGGCTCCCTGTCGGAGCGCGCGCGACCCTCGCGCTCGTCTCTCGAGGAAGACAAGAGGAGGAGGAGGAGGAGGAGGAGGAGGAGGAGGAGGAGGAGGAGGAGGAGGAGGAAGAGGAGGAGGAGGACGAGGAGGAGGAGGAGGAGGAGGAGGAGGAGGAGCGCGCCCCGCTCTTGGATCGGTGCCGTACCCCCCCCCGCCATGGTGCGCGGAGCGCGCGCCGGGAGCGGCGCCTCGTGTGCCGCCAGGGAGGGGGGGGGGGGGGGCAGCGCGGGTGCAAGAAGTCTGCGCGGAGCTCCACAGGTGGATGCTTAATGCCGTTGTCTGTTCCTCCAGCTTCGTCGCGTCTCGTCTCGCCTCCCCCTTTCTCTCAAGGGAGGGCAGACCACCCGGAACCCGACATCTGACGTTTACGAAATGGCCTTTGGGGTGTTTGCTCCACGGCCCTTGCCCTGTTCGATTCTTTGCTGGGGTTCGTCTCCCAAACGGCCTTCGCTTGCCGGGGTGATTAGTATGGGGGTGGATTTTCCCCCCTCTCCCTCACACTCGTGCCCTCCCGCGCCCTGGCGCCGAGGTAGGCATTTCGGGGGGGGGGGGGGGGGCGATCTGCCGCCCGTGGCCGCTGTTCGAGAGAGGAGATGTGTGTCGAAGCATGTCGCGCTGGAGGCTGTGCGTTCGTCTCCGGCGTCGGTCTCTCTCTCCAGCAGCCGGCGACGTGGGGGGCAATAGACATCGGTCGAAGAGGAGCGCCATAAACATTCGGGGGAGCGTAAGACCCGGGTTTGCCAGGACTCGGGTTCGCCATCGTTTTTTGACGACCGCGCCTCGGATTTTGACGAGGAGGAGTTTCGTGGGATGTCTGCAGCGGGAGGCCTCGTCAAAATGCAGGCTCGGCCTCGTCATTTTTTTGACGACCTCGTCGGGGATTTCCGAGTCCCCTGTACCCGGGTCTTACGCCCCCCTGAAACATGAATGTTTGGCAATCCGCGCGAGTTTCCTGGATCCGCGCGGGGGCCCCATGGCGCCGCCTCTGGCGCGCTCCGCGCGCCAAGGAGGGGGGTCCAGCGCAGATCCAAAGAATCCGCGCGGAGCGCCAGAAGGTTATGGTTATGCCTTTTTGTTCTCCTCCTCTACACGTCCCCCCACAGTGCCACCACGGGGCCAAAAGGTGCACTGAAGGTGCACACATGTGTCTTCACTCCACATTCCTTGCCCCCTCGTTGACGACCACCCGGCTCTGCAGGGGCCTTTTTCAGGCCCCGGGGGGCCGTCAGAAGTCGATCAGGGTTGGGAAGCCGGGCAAAATGGACCCCAGGAAGGGTCTCACCACTTCGCGCGCACTTCGAGCGCCGAGGTTCCATCCTCCCTTGCTCTTCCCTCCTCCTTCTCCTTCTCTTCCCCCTTCCTCTTCCGTTCTCCTCCTCCCTCTTCCACCCTCCCTCCCTCCCACGCCTCCTCCCGACATTCTCCCTCCTCCCTCCCGAGAGATTCTCCCTCCTTCCCTCCTTCCCTCCTCCCTCCTCCCTCGCTCCTCCGCCCGGGATCGAGGCTGGAGATATCGGACAGCCGCTTCCCTCCTCCCCCCCCGGGCGTGCAGGAGCACGCGCGTGCGCCGGAGGAGCGAGGAGGAGGAGGAGGAGGAAGAGGAGGAGGAGGAGGACCATCACATGCTAATGAGGGAGGCTAGGGTTAGGCCGACCCGACCCTAACCGAAACCTGGAGGTTACATCCGCTCTCCTCTTACGCTGGCTTTCTTCCCTACGTCGCCCCTCCTTCCTTGAGGAGCTGGGCTGCAGGGATTGGCAGGGAAAGTCGGGGACGGGCCTTCATGCTGCTCTTGGGATGACGGCCGCTTGCCAGGAGGGACCACGCACCTTGGGAGAACCTGCTTTGGAAGCGCTCCTTACATTAACCTTTGAGTCCTTTGAGGTTGCTTTCGCTGTAGCGGCCGCACCTCTTACAAACGACTAGGAAGGACTCAACATCAAGGTAATCACAAATCATTAATTGGTGCTTCTGGGGGTCCCTAATTAACATAGACAACATGACTGAATTGCCTGGGCATGCTTCTCGCAAGCGGGTCTTGCGAGTGCTGTCCGCGCGGGCGCGCGGTAATCTTCCGAAGAAGGGATCCGGAGTCGGCCATGCGGGGCGCTCCAGGGAGGGCCCCGCCCTCGAGGGAGCGGTGGGGTCGGCGCGCGTCGCTTCCCCTGCGGAGCGGCGGGGGGCGGCCCTGCTGGCAGAGTCCCGCGGAAGTACGTAAAAAATCCCCCCCTCCGAAAGAGAGATGTTGTCGAAGACGCCGTCTTAGACCATCTTGAGGCCATCTTGGGCCGTCTTGGAGGCATCTCGGGGCCATCTGAGCCGTCTTGGAGGCCACCTTGGCCGTCTTGGAGGCACCTTGGCCGTCTCGGAGGCCATCGTGGGGCCGTTTGGGGCAGGAAAACCGTGTGCAACCACCTCTTCTGGGTGGCCGGCGGGACGCGACGAAGCCCCAGGGGGAGTTCTTTTGGAAAAAACGAAAACCAAAAGCCATAGAATCTGGCACGCCGGGCACCCCTTTGACAAATCAAAAGGTGGCGGCGGATCGAAGACGCCTACGGCGAGTCACCGCCTCCCCCTGCCTTTTTGGAAGCGCTGATGTGGCCGCACGTCGAGGCCAGACCTGCCAAGCTATCGGACCATGTGTTCCCCGAATCGGTTTGGAAAGCCTTCGGGGAACACGTGGGCATCTTGAAGTTCATCTTTGGCCGTCGGGAGGCCATTTTGACCCTTTCGGGCCTTTTTGGAGGCCGTCTTGGAGGGCTCTTGGGCCGTCTTGGAGGCTATCTTGAGCGTCTCGGATGCCTCTTGGGCCGTCTTTGGGGCCTCTTGGGGCCGTCTTGGGCCTCTTGGGCGATATTTGGGGGCACTTGGGCCGTCACAAGGCAGAAAAAAAGCAAATGCCACAATCTTTCAAAAACTCATGGGAAATCAATGATTTTGGCCTTTTCGGGCCTTCCTGGAGGCCCTTTTGGAGGCCTCTTGGGCCGTCTTGGGCCATCTCAGGGCCATCTTCGGCCGTCTTGGTGGGTTCCTGGCCCGTCTTACGCCGTCGGAAGCCGTTTGGGGGGCCTCTCTGAGCCGACTTCGGGCCCTCTTGGAATGCTCCAGGGCCGTCTTGGAGGCCATCTTGGGCGTCTTAAAGGCCTCCTGGGCCGTCTTGGGGGCCTCTTGGGGCCGTCTTGGAGTCTTGGCCGTCATGGGGCCATCTTGGAGGCCTCGTGGGCGATCGTGGGGGACTCTTGGGCCGTCTTGAGCTGTCGGAAGGCCGAAAAGAAACAGATGCCCAAATCCTTCAAGAACCTAAGGCAAATCAATGATTTTGGCCTCTTCGGGCCCTCCTGAAGGACCTCTTGGAGGCCTATTGGGCTGTCTTGGAGGCCTCTTGAGGGCATCTTGGGCCGTCTTAGGCCATATTGAGGCTATCTTAAGCCGGTTTGGGTGCATTTTGGGCCGTCTTGGAGGCATATCGGGGCCATCTTAGCCGTCTTGGAAGCCATTTTGGGCCATCTTGGGGCCGTCTGGGGCAGGAAAACCGTTTGCAACCGGGTCTTCGGGGTGGCCGGCGGGACGCGCCGGAGCCCCAGGAGGAGTTCTTTTGGAAAAGGGCCAAAACCAAAACCGAAATCATTTAGCACGCCAGGCACCGCTGTGATGAATTTGTGATGAATCACCAGGGGGCGGCGGATCTAGATGGTTGCGGCAAGTCCCGCTTCGGTGCCAGCCCAGTTTTCTGGGTGGCGACTGTTCGTGGGGACATTGGAGGCAAATGAGCTCAGGATGATATTCAAGGTGATAGTGGTGGAGATAATGATGGTGGTGGTGGTCACTGCAAAAGGGGAACATAATCCCGAGCAGAGCAACACGCACCACGACCACAACGACGCCGACGACGACGACGACGACGGAGACGAGGCGCGCATACGATCCGCACCGAAGCACGGATTTGGCAAAGGGCCCACCCTGCAGGTTCGGTTAAACAGCACATCGTTGAGCGGTGCTGCAGCCCCCCCTGAGCACAGGCCCCCCCAGAGCATCAGCCAGACAAGTCGGGTTTGCACCCTCATGCCTTGCTGGACTCTGGGCGCGTTTCGGCACCCTCTCCCCCAACCTCGAAAGGGCCACCGACAAGGGAGAGGGCGACGGTGGCCGACGCGTCCCCGAGCTAAGAAACTCAAAGCGCCGCGGCTCAGGGAGCCGGGAAGACAGACAGACGGACGGACGGACAGCCAGGCGGCGTGCAATGCCTGGCAAGCCAATTGGGTGGTCACTGCATAAGGGAAACAGAATCCCGAGCAGAGCAACACGCACCACGACCACGACGACGCCGACGACGACGACGGAGATAATGATGGTGGTGACGACGACGTCGACGATGACGATGGGGTTGACCATGATGAGGATGAGCATGATGGTGATGATGACGATGCCGATCATGATGCGGCTGAGAACGACGATGTTTGAGGATGATGATGACGATGCTGACGACGGCGATGGTGTTGGTGGTGATGACGCTGCTGATGGGTGATGATGATGACCATGAGTATGGTCATGATGGCCATGTTGATGGCGATGGTGATGGTGATGGTTGTGGTGGTGCTGCTGTGTCCGACGATGATGATGGTATTGGTGATGATACTGATGATGATGATGAACCTGATGATAAGGCTGGTGATGACCATGGTGATGATGATGATGACGATGATGGTCATCATCACCAGCATCGCCATAATAATGGTGATGATGGTGGCGGTGGTAGAAGTGATGCTGATGACGACGACGCCGATGATGACGATGATGATGATGCTGGTGGTGATGATGATGCGGATGATGAGGAGGAGGAGGAGGAGGATGGTGATGATACTGGTGATGAAACTCGTGTGGACAGCCTCGGGGCTGTCTGGGCCTCCTGTGAGGCAGTCTTGAAGGTTCCTTGGGGTTCGTTTGGGCCGTCCCCAGGCCCTCTTACGCCGGCGTGGGGCTCGCTTGGGCCGTCTTGGGGCCCTCTTGGCCATATGGTGGGTGTCTGGGGGCCGTCGCGGGGCCATCTTGGCGCCGTCTTGGGCCGTTGAATGGCATTCGAAGGCCATCTTGGGTCCCACGGGAGGTCCTCTTGGGCCATCGCTGAGTCCTCTTGGGCAGTCTCGAGCTGACGGCAGCCCGAAAAGGCGAGAATGCTAAACTCATTCAAAAAGCAAAGGGGAATCAATGAGTTTGTCTCCTTCGGACCGTGTTGGAGTCCCTCGCGTTGCGATTTCGGGCCCTCTTGGAGGCATCTTGGGCCGTCTTGATTCAAATTGTGGCCGCCTTGGGGCGGCTGCGAATGCGGGAAGTGCGCGATCCTCGAGCGGGTGCGCGTGGGATGAGGGCCCCAGGAGTTAGCAGCCATGCGGGAAGTGCACAATCCTCGAGCGGGCCAACATGAAATGAAGGTTCAGGCATGACCTACTATGAAGGAAGTGCACCTTCCTCAAGCGTGGACGCGTGGAATGGGGGTTCAGGCATTAGCTGCCATGCGGGAAGTGCATCATGCTCGAGCGGGCACGAGGGAAGTGGCTTCGGTGAGTGCGGGGAAATGCACGTAACTGTCCGCGAGTACAGGGAGGCGCGGCCCCTTTACTAGGGTTTCCGGAACGGGCCACGTCAGGACCATGTCGACGTCATGGGTTAATTTCCTCCTCCTCCCTTTTCCTCCTCCTCCTCCTCCTCCTCCTTCTCCTCGTCCTCATCCTCGTCGTCCTCCGCTTCCTCATTATCATCACCCCCCTCAGGCTCATACTCATACTCATACTCCTCCTCGTCCTCCTTCTCCTCCTCCTCCTCCTTCTCCTTCTCCTCCTCAACATTCCGTTGCCAGTTTGTCTCAACATGCCTTACTGACAGGCAGCATTCTGAGCGGGCAGCTCTCTGCAGATGGCGATTTGGGTGTCGTGCCCAGGCTGACATTTATCATTCTCTCGCTTCTGCAATGGAGGTTGCGCCAGCTGGCGTTGCACCTGATGGTGCTACCGCCGCCAGCGCCGCCGTTCCGACTGGAGCTTCGCCGTTCATTGGAGTTGTTGCTGACGCCGTGGGCCTGGGGACGGGCCTGGGCGCCGTCGGCAATGCACGTCAAGTGAGGGCACGTACGGATGAAGGCGGTTAAGGCACCATGGCAATTCTCAGCCGAATGGGGTCTAACATGGCCACAACGTCTGACATCAACACCATGCAGGAGTCCATCAACAAGCATGCGAGGGTGTACATCGAGCTGCGCGACCGCATGACCACCATCGAGAGCCAGTTGATTGCTGGATTTGGAGAAGCAAAAGAGAAGGCCCTGTTGGCAAACATCCTTGAGGCGCAGAGCCCCGTCGATTCGGCCAGCACCCGCAGGTCGCTTCCCAGCCTCGCTCGCCGGTCCAAGGGTAAGAGCTCCTCTTCGAGCAATGGAAGATTCACAGGAGGTTGCATCTATGAAAATTGCGCAGACCCGTGCAATGCCTGGATATGTGTTTTGAGGCCGCCGACGCTCGCTCGCGACATGCTACGAAACATGCATACGCAGGTTCTCCCGCGCCTGCCCTCGCACATCAAGCCACCCACGGAGGTGAACACTCACGATCTCCACAAAGCCCTCAGCGTCTCGTTCGGGAACGCCACCGATGCCAAGGCCTTTCTCGACTCCGTCAAGACCAACGGCCTCGCGTTCAAGACAGCTAATGGACACGTTCAACTTCGCGCTCGGCGCGATGCGACACCAAGCATCCGCCGCCGCAGCACCATTATCGGCCAGGCGTGAAAGGGCATTTCGCAGCATTGTGCCGCCAAGGGGATCGGTCCGGATATCCTCCTTGAAGTCAGTGGGCACAAGGGCATCTTATTCTTCACGAAGAATGGCGAGGTCACCATCGTGCCCGCGCTGGTCGGGGAACTTGATTCGCCTGCCACCATCGCGCCCGACTCTGCGGCGTTCGAGAGCCTGCTGACTGGCGAGGAGCAGACAGCTGCGATGGCCACGAGCGTCCTCGAGTAGGGAGCCCCCTTTGTCCAGCGCGTTCGATCAGCAGCTTGCGACTGATAGCGGCCGCATCCGCGGGCGCCTTTTTGCCCGCGGCAACGCGCGGCGGCGTTCGGCCTCCAAGCCAAGCTCGGGTTCAGCACGCGCTGGCTCCCAGCCACCCTTCTAGCTCCTGCCCTCCGTCTCCATCTCCTGGGCGCGGGGGCTGTCCTCGCCACTGTCGTGCCATGCCTCTTCCAGAAAGTCCGCCAGTGGATCTCCCTGGACACATTAAAGAGGGGGGGCCCAGAACCCCCCCCCCCCCCTTCCTCCCCCCCCACCACCACCACCACCACCACCACCACCACCACCACCGCCACCACCCACCACCACCACCCACCACCACCACCACCACCACCACCACCACCACCACACCACACACACACACACACACAACACACACACACACACACACACACACACACACACACACACACACACACACACACACACACACACACCACACACCTTCCCCCCTTAGAGGGCGGGAAGGGGAGGGAGGGGGCGCCCGACCCCCCCCCCCCCCCCCCCCCCCCCCCCTGGCGCTGGAAAGGCCGGGAGGGGGGGGGGGGGGGGAGGGGAAGGGTCGGACCCCCCCCCTTCCCTCCCCCCCTTCCCTCGTACAGGGATTGCGGTGTTGGGAGTAGAGAGTGGTGAGTAGTGAGTAGTGAGTTAGTGCGTAGTGAGTAGTGAGTATTGGGTAGTGAGTAATGGGTAGCGAGTGGCGAGTAGGGAGTAGGGAGTGGGGAGTAGTGAGTAGTGAGTAGTGTGTACTGATAAGTGAGTAGTGAGTGGCGAGTAGTGAGTAGTGAGTAGTGAGCAGCGAATAACGAGTAGTGAAACTGAGTAGGGGGTAGGGAGTAATGAGTAGTGGGTAGTGAGTAGTGGGTGGCGAGTAGTGATTAGTGAGTAGTGAGTAGCGGGTAGTGCGTAGTGCGTAGTGAGTAGTGAGTAGTGAGTAGTGGGTAGTGAGTAGCGAGTAGTGGGTAGTGAGTAGTGAGTAGTGAGTACTGAGTAGTACGTAGTGCGTAGTGGTTGGTGAGTAGTGAATAGTGATGAATAGAGAGCAGTGGGTAGTGGCAGTGGGTAGTAGGTGTTGAGTAGCGAGTAGGGAGTAGCGAGTGGAGAGCAGTGTCGAGCGAGTAGGGCGTAATGAGGAGTGAGTAGTGAGTAGAGAGTAGTCAGTAGTGAGCAGTGGGTAGTGATTAGTGAGTAACGAGTAGGGAGTATCGAGTAGCGAGCAGTAAGTAGTGAGTAGGGAGTAGGGAGTAGGGAGCAGTGAGTAGTAAGAAGTGGGCAGCGAAAAGTAGGTAGTGAGTAGCGATTGGTGGGTAGTGAGCAGTGACTAGTGACTAGTGGCTAGTGAGTTGTGACTAGTGACTAGACACTATGTAGTGACTAGTGAGTAGGGAGTAGTCAGTAGTGAGTAGTGAATAGTGAGTAGCGGGGAGTAAGTAGTGAGTATTGAGTAGCGAGTATGGGAGTAGCGAGTAGTGAGTACTCAGTACTGTGCAGTCAGTATTGTGTAGGGAGTAGCGAGTAGTGGGTAGCGAGTAGCGATTTGTGGGCAATGAGTAGTTAGTAGTGAGTAGTGAGTAGTGGAGAGTGGGTAGTGGGTAATGAGTAGTGATTAGTGGATAGTGAGTAGGGAGTAGGGAGTAGTGAGTAGCGCTTAGTGAGTAGTGAGTATTGAGTAGTGGGTAGTGAGGAGTGAGTAGTGCGTAGGGAGGAGGGAGTAGTGAGTAGGGAGTACTGGGTAGCGAGTAGTGGGTGGTGGGTAGTGAGTAGTGGTTAGTGAGTAGTGAGTCGTGAGTAGTGAGTAGGGGGTAGTGAGAGGTGAGTTGCGAATAGCGAGTAGTCAGTAGTGGGTAGTGAGTAATGAGTAGTGAGTACTCTTTGGGGCTGGGGCTAGCGGTTGGGGTTAGGTTTAGGGTTTTGGGGCAGGGTTGGAGGGTGGATGAGGGGCAGGGCGGGGTTGGGTTCCAGAGTCAGGGGGCGCGCGGCGAAAGGAGAGCAGGGGGGGGGGGTCGGACCCCCCCCCCCCCCCCCCCCCTTTTGAAAGGGAAGAAGGGGGGGGGGGCCCAACGACGGATCGGGGAAGGGGAGCGAGGGGGGGGGGGGGCGACGACGGATCCGACGAATCGGGGAAGGGTGCGGGAGGGGGGTCACCCCCCCCCCCCCTCGGGGAGATCCAGCGGCGCGCCTTTCTCTTTTACCCAGCAGCGGTTTCTCGATCGTCTCTGGGAACGGAACGCTCGGTCTCTATTCGAAGGTCCATCTATTAGTCGCGCTATGCGGGAGCATAGACTGACAGCCTTGCGCCAGCTTGACGCGAAACGCGATGTTGTCTGCGTCCAGGAAGCTCGCGGGCCCAAGCATAGTCTCGATAAATCCAAAAAGGAGGTCAACCGCGCGCGCGGCAAGGGCGCGTTCCTCGAGGGCCGCTCTGCCGATGGTGTTCTTTCTTATCATTGTTCATCCGCGTCTTTGCTCGCAGTTGCAAGTTTCCTGGCGTCGAATCCTCGCCCCTGGTCGCACCCAGTTTCTCGCCCCCCACGGCCAGCGCGACGTCGCGCAGACCAGTGACGCGCGCATCAATCTCGACCAAACTGTTCCTCCAATGAAGATCGAACTTCATAAGACGCAGCGGCGCGCCTTACCTGCTGGCCCGCGCGCGTCGCTCCTGCTGGGCGACTTCCACTTTCGCGCTGGGGGTGTCATCGCGCGACGGGGGGGGCCAAGCGGGCACTGGCAGCCCATCGGCATACTTCAGCGAATTGCCCCCGCAGTCGCGCGAAGTTGGGCAGGGCCACTTTACCGATCGAGCGGTGGGCAATGCTGGCGAGCGCCCTGGCATTGCTTCCCTGGGGCGGCTAGATAGAGCGCGCGGCAAGGAGCGGGGACTCTTGGACCGCCAAAAGGAATGGGGCATCGCAGTTGTTCCGACATCTGGGTTGCACTGACGATGCGAATAAACGAGTGAATCACCAGCGCCACCATGCTTGGCTGCAAGCCCAATACCGGGGGCTCCCAACGGTGTCTGGCCGCCCTCAGATCGCGCACCAGTTGCGCCGTTGGCGCGGAGGTTGTCGGACGCCGCCCCCTGGGTCGCCAGGCGCCCGCGGCACCTCATTTACCTTCAGAGGTTCTCGGGGGCGGCCGGGCCCCTGGACTCTGACCCCAAAGGAACTCTCGGGGAAGGGGGGGGCGTCATTAAGGTCGCCGCTAATGCCGTCATCGAGTTTTTCACCCGCTCTGGACTCTCGGTGGACGAAAAGGTCCACTGGGCTCAGTCTGCCGTGCGCAGTCTTCGGCAGGGTCGCCCCGCCTCCCCTCGGCGCGCACTGCGGGCCTCTCCCGAGCTCAGCGCATAGATTTGCAGCCAGTCTTGCACGTGGACAGACTTGCTCGGGCTGCACGAGTACCCTGGCCGCATGAAGACAGCCCATTTGAAGAACAATTCAGCGACCCCGGAGCTGCCAATCTCCCCGCCGACCAAAAGCACGCCCTGAAGTCGAAGCTGACATCTAATCTTTGTGCCCGAGGATCTCGGCGGCGTCGCATCACTCTGTCGGGCGTTTCCGACCCCTCTGGCTCGCAGCTCACCGAGCCCCGAGCAGTTGCCCGACAGTTTCCTGCCCATTGGGGCCAAATGCACGCCCACGCTTCGGGCGGGGCCCAGCATCGTCGAGAGCTGCTGCCGTTCATCCAAAGAGTCCCGCCGCATATGTCGCGAGCTTGGGCCTGGACTTTGCGAGCCCGCTGCGAAAGCCAAGGGCGCTTGAGCCAGGCCCTACGGCGCGCCTTACTCAGCGCGGGCGCGAGGAGGCACTCTTAAAATGGAGCCGTTGTTTAACGTGGATCAAGAGCTACTGGCGCATGCCTCGTTGCCCCGCACCCTTAACCATGGCGCCGCTGTTTTTCTCCCGAAAGGCGATTGCCCCGACGACGCTGTCGACGCAGTCTTTCGTGCGCCAGCGCAGACGCGCCCGATCACATTGAGCAACCTTGACAATAAATCGGCAAGTCGCGCTGTCTACCGACCTGTCACTCGTGTCTTTCAGGAAGCCTGCTCTGGAATTCAAGATGGATTTATCCCTGGGCGCAACTTCACCATCAATATCTCCGGCTCCGGAGTCTCGGGCAGTTGAGTGGTTTACGCAGGGTGGTTTACAGCGCGCTGGTTACGTTGCCTTGGCTATACGCGCAACGTTCCCACGCTGCTTCATGCCGTGGCGCATTTCGTTCTGAAGGCGTATGTTTTGTCGATGGGTCCTTTTCTTCGAACGTTAGAGTCGCGGCTCTCGCGCTCGCCCATCCGCGCTTGCTGCCTGCGCCGGCGGCGCTGGCACGGCGGCGCAAGATGTTCGCCGCTCGCTTTCTTCACTGCCCCCAGTCTTCCAATGTGTCGCCGCTGCTGGAGGTCTCGAACTTTATATGATTAAGACATGCATTATCCCTCTACAGATGCTGGCGCCCGCTAGTCACGGTCGCCGCTGGTCTGCCCTCGGAGTTCGCGGCAGCTGCCTCGGCCAAATAGATACGGGCAGCTATATTGTGGGGGGGGGCTCTGAAGTCTCGGGGCGCTGCCGCTCGAAAATGCCCCCGCCAGGGCTCGGCATATCAAGAGTTTGGGTTCGGGGCTCGCTGTTAGCATCGCCGCCCCAAACCAGAATGCATTCAGTTGTTGAGCACATGTAATGCAGTCATTCTCACGTGCCCCCGCGGCATTCCACCGCGCGCGCGCGGCTGGCGGAGCCCCCGCGGGAGGCCCAAACAACGCTGTCAGCCCTGTCGCGCTTGAGAACCTTGAGGAGGTGGGCCACCCATGCCAGATTCGCCGTCTGGATCATGCCTCACGAGCTGCCGTCTACAGGCCTGCCTGCAACCGCCTCGAGTTCTTCAGAGCGCGGACGCGGGCCCACGCCATGGCAGAGAGCGACGAGTGGAACATTGCGCGGGGAATTTACCCTCTG